TGAATCATTTAGTATTTATGTATTTTGTTCCACGGGCTCATAAAAAAAACAAAACATGAGCAATTTTGTGTTGCTTTTGGAATAAGATTGCATCCTGCCTCAGAAATGTTGTCAAGTGCCTCCCCAATTGCAGCTCTTACTGCAGTGGGGGGCAACCTCTTTGGTAGGCATACCGCAAATTAGCCCCATGCTCTCCCTGCAAGGCACTCTTATCCCTTTCTGCTGTTCTGCTCCCTGCCCCATCTCCTGCTCTGTTTTCTGATCCGTGTCCTATCTACCTGTCCCCTCCCTGCACACACATAAGTTTCCCCTGCCACTTGTAGCGTATGTGCCCCAGGTTGGCCACCCCTGTCTTATTGCATTCAGCACAGAGTCACTAGCTTCTGTGCACTAGGCTTTTGGCTGGGCTGAAAACATTAGGCGGTCTGTAAACTGCACTCAATCACAACAGCCCCAAGGGGCCATTCCAGCAGCCGAAGAGCCAAACCCCTTTTCCTTTATCCCGTCTTCGACATAGACTTGATTTGGGGGTTTGCAATGATATGGGGCAGTGGTGGCATCAACTGCTCCTCCCCTGTGCTGCAGGTTAGAAAGAGATGGTGGGTCGGAGACTTCCTTTCTCTCAGGGTTTCCAAGCATCTGGTGGGGTAGAGGTGGCTGCGTTAGCCCGATACTAGGAAAGTCCCTATGCCATGCAATTCTCACAAAGCCATTTAAACCAGTATCAAACCCTTTGTTCTTCTGGAGCAGAGTGAAGGAGCAGCACTGGTGCTAATGCACATATGGATTATTAGTGCAAAGTAAGTAAGAGTCCAGAGAGGTCCATAAGGTCTGTGTTTGCTGTCTCTGCAGTTTGCTTATGAGCAGGGATCCTGGTTTTCTCTGATTTAAAATATTCCCCAATTTTCGGTTTAAAAAAAGTAATCATGGAAAAATCATGTGGATTTTGGGTTAAGCTGGAACACCACTAATAGATCTATCTATCTATCTATGACAGATAGATGCTATATAATATATATATATATATATATATATAATGTGTGTGTGTGTATTATATATGATAGATAGCTATATATGTATATATATGATAGATAACTCTTCATATAATAAATATATTTATTTATTTATTTATTTATTTATATACATTCACACACATTTTTTGAAAAAATATGAAAGGCAGACCATTCCAAAACTGCTTTGAGCCTGTCTCTAGGAGAATATGGAGTCCAAGGAAATATATCATATTTTCTATCTATCTATCTATCTATCTATCTATCTATCTATCTATCTCTATTAGTGGTGTTTCAATTTAATCATAGAAAAATGTTGATTTTGGGTTACTTTTTAAAATTGAAAACTGGGTATTTTTTTTTTTTTTACTAAAGAAAATCAGGCCCCTGCTTATAAGCTATTGATTAGAGAGATACTCAAGCAGTTCAGTTACCAGCAGCAGCATACTTGTGTTAGGATGGTGCAGTGCAGATCTAAGTGGTTTAGGTCTAGTTGGGAGGGTAGAAAGTGTTAATTTTAGAAGTCTCCTGAAAAATAGCTGAATGGCTGAACCAAGCAGTAGAAATAAGGCCTTGATGTATCAAAATGTGAAATGTCCCTGCATGGGAATTGCCGAAGGGAATAAAGTAGCAAAAGAATGATCGCTCGGTGCCTGGTTGCCTTGGCACCAAACGAGATCAGTTAGGCATGTACCTGTAATAATCAAATTTAAAACATAACGTATCAAATGGAGAATGTAAACGAAGGGAGAAGGGCAGGTATTGAAAGGTACATGCTTGGCATGAGATCAGCGTTTGGATTGGCTTGTAAACCTGTGATCAGCAAATGTATTTGTGCTGCTGACGGTGCAGTAATTGCGATTGGATTATTCAGAGAACTAGGTACACGATCTTGTAAGGGTACACAGATTTGAAGCCTTTCAATTGTCCCATCAGCTTGATCACCTGCCTGCAGAGTGGATCAATACTCTTCTGGCTCCTAACCTCAATGTGTCTATTCGTCGTCAGGCTGGTTTTTGCAATATGCAACAGGAGCGAACGCTTCCCTTTGTGTAAGAAAACAGTGGATTTCCCCATCCCTTCTCTACAGCTCTTTGTGATGACACGCAGGCCCAAGATATAGTGTTCATCTCAGGTTAAAAGGGAAACAATTCTGGGCAACCCTTTTCAAGTATTGGAAGTGCTTCTCTGCATAGCATCACAGAAAATGAGGACTGGCAGGGACCTCAGGAGGTCACATCTAGTCCACCCCCCTGCTCAGAGGAGGACTGTCCACAACTAGATCATCCCAGCCAAGGCTTTGACAAGCCAGGACTTAAAAACCTCCAAGGATGGAGAGTCCACAACCTCTCTGCACAGCCTGTTCCAGTGCTTTCCTACCCCTCTCATGAGAAAGGCTTTTCCTAATATCTGACTTAAACTTCCCTTGCTGCATGATAATGTTGTGTCTGGACATAGGGAGGCTGAGCACCCATACATTGCAAAAAAAGGGTGATATAGACTCTCCGCTTCCATTGCTTTACAGTGTTATTTCACGTTAAAACTCCTCTCTGAGTTGAAAATGCACAAGTCCAATTGTGCTTGTCAGAGCGGCTGTAAAATCTCCATCCAGTCGGTATCCTCAGAAGTTTACTGTAGCATTTCAGCTAAACTTCCAGTTCGAACCCCTGCTGCTCAGCATGTTTAAGTAATTATAATACTGCTTCATTTTTTCTCAAGCGATGCTGCAGAGTGTTTCATTTGCATCTTTCCATGAAGATGAACCTCCTAATTCATAGCTGTGTTGCCTGCATATGGGTAAAGAAAAGAAAGAAATCACAGCAAGATGCGGGAGAGTTTCGCCCCCATCGTGGGGCACTCCATCTCTCTTGGCATTTGACAAGCTGATTTTTTATTCTTTGCCAGGTATTATCTGCTGTAATTCATGGCAGTGGCCTATAAAATAGTCTGTGAACAGCACCATGTTATCATTTGCTTCACAGGCTTCAATCCAGTATCCAGGGTTGAGTATTGACTTGGCATTCTCATGGACATGCCAGAGAGTGAACATTTAAATGAACTTTTTCTCTGCTGGAAATGGTTTTTACAGGGCAAGATTTAAGGCATGGTAAGTTTGCAATGCCACCACCACTTTTGCTCTGATAAACACTGAATATATGTACTGGTACTGGGACAGCTGCTCAATTTGTCAGCATGGGAGCAGAGCACTGTTGGTGACTACAGCAGCCAGAAGAGCAGCCAACCTTCATCACAATTGTTGTCCCATAACCTTGAGCTGTAGCAAGGGAGACTGAGTCCAAGGACAAGGAGCTTCAACTGGAGAAGCTGCAGAAGAAGCTGGAGTATGAAGGTTGCCAGTGACAGAGAATTTGAGGTTGAAGAGTTTCAGGACTCCAGATATGGGTCCCATGGGAGTTCCTGGATTGCAAAGCATCAGCGGGGGTTTTGGGTCACTCTGGCCAGCCAGGAGTCTACCTGGCCTCAATGGCTGTTGAATTCTTTTACTAACATAAAATTCACAGAGACAATGTGTTCAGAAGGATTATAAAATGGCATAAAACCTTTGACTTCCCTGGCGCAACATCAGTTTTTTCCAGCTGAGCATTTGCCCTCCCCAAAACTGAGAGATGCACGTTCCCATCCTTGAAATGCGAGAGCAGTTTTAAAATTGAGACAATCAAAGCACTCCTGAGCATAACATAGTCTAAATGTACCGTGGGCAACATCTGGAAGAAGGATGTGGCAGAGAAGCACGCATTTATGTATTTTGCTGAGCAATGACGGGTTGCCGAATCATAGCCCAGTAGGTAGATAGCAGGTAGATGTCAGTTCTTTGTGGCATTGCGGTAGTTTTCCTCACTGCTTTTACACTGAAGAAAGCAGGGACTGAATGCATGGTCATGAAGGGCAGGGTGCAGTGCCAGATGCATTACTTTTGGAACCCATTTTGCTCTGGGGTCGTTAACCTGGACGTCGCATGCCCATACACAGAGCTGGTAAGAGTCCGATGGGAATTCTTCAGACAAGCAGAGTCAATTGAATTTTGTTATAGCAGTGAAGCTGCTGAGGGACTTGCTCTTGGGTTAGTTGAGAGGCCACCTTATATATCAATATATTTGTAATAGCATCTTAAAAACGGTGCCTGGAGCTCTGTGCGAGTCTCATTGCCCTTCAACAAGAAAGTTGCAAACATCTGTCAAATTGATGATTATTGAGTTATGGCTGGATATTGATAAGGGATGGGGTAGGTGAGTATGGTTTACTGGCATACACTGTCTGTGTGTGATACTAGGGTGTGCTGAAATGTCCATGACGTTTGAGTAGATGCATGTTAGAAATCGAAATAAATAGTTATACACAGTGTGCTGCACTGGACATAAACAGGGCTAATGTATCGGGTGATGTAAATGGAAGTAGCTTCTCGTCTATACTTGGTGAAAATCAGCATAGCTCTGTGGGCTTTACTGCAGCTACATCGGTTTACATCGGTTGAGGGCCTGTTGCATTGTAACTGCTTCTCACTGAGGTGGGATTACCATGTTATCTAATTATCCTGTGTAGCCTTCATTGCAATATGGTTTAGTAGATGGACAACCACAGTGAGATCCAGCTTCAGTTGTGTGTCAGTGAATGTATTTACAGCAGCTGTGGCCTTGTCTCCCCAGAGCGATTCCAGTCTCTCCGATTGTCCTTCTCTCCAAACCTGGACGACTACAACCCAGATATTCCAGAGTGGAGACGGGATATCAGCAGAGTGATCAAGAGAGCTCTGGTAGAGGTAAGTGATAAAATACATTTTAAATCCTTTCATTTCCTCATCTACCATCTCAGTTTCTTCTGACCTTCAATCTGAACAACAGAACGATGCACCCAAAGTCTTTATAAAGCCAGCGGATACTTGACAGCATCACACAAACTTTGAGGTCTGCTGAAATAATATGATAGAGGTGCATATGAGCAACTGTAGATATGCTCATATGCTGTATGTTTTATTTTGTGGGCAGCAGCATATTTGGGGTTAGGTCAAAATCCCAACCTTCAGCTGTAAAGGGCAGCATTCGTACTTCTTAGTCACAGGGGCTATGGTAGAGGGAAAAGTACATAATGACTAAATTCTTCCATATATAATTCTGCTCTGTATTTCTTCACTTTGCTGCTGTCCTTATATTTCAGTAGGGTGTAGCGGCATCCCAAAAGATCATCAGCATTACAAAAAGGGAAGTTTAGGTTAGATATAAGGTTACTACCCTCTCTCACAAGGAGGGTAGTAAAGCAGTGGAACAGGCTACATAGAGCAGTGGTGGACTTTCCATCTTTGGAGATTTTTAAGACCCAGCTAGATAAGCCTTGGTTGGGATGATATAGTTGAAGATGCTCCTGCTTGGAGCAGCGGGGTGGGCTAGATGTGACCTCCTGAGGTCATTTCCAGCCCTAATGACCCTATGCTTCTAATGGTTGGACAAAATGTATGAAGTAGTGAAGGTGGGTTTTCTCATATACTGATGCACCATCCATGTGCCCCACGTGCAGCATCAGGTACATGGGCCCATGGGTGACTGGTGCCACCGTAGTTGGGGGGCATGTTCCCCCCCCCCCCCCCCACACCCCAGGGGGTGGGGGTGCGTGTCCCCCCCCCCCCCCCCCCCAGCGACCAAGGTGGGGTTTCCCCCATGGCCAATCTCACTGACCAAGGTCCTCCCACGGCAAAATTCACCAACCAGGAGGCAGCCACGGTGCTCCCGGAAGCAGCTGTGGCACTACATCTGGCACTCCCACTCCCTGGCAAGCGCTTGCAGAGGGGCACCACTTGGCCCCCCTGTCCATCACCTACATAGAGAGTGTGGCTGGTCAGGGGGTGCATCAGCACTCTCAGGGGGTGCACGTGCACCCCCATGCACACCCTACGCATCGCCACTGCATGGGCCAGCACTAAAAGTGTATTCTCCTTCATAAACAGAGCCATGTGCACATGGGAAAGTTCTAGAGGTGCATTTTCCTCTATATACACGATGCACTATCAATAATTTTGGCTTAAAAATAGTATTATGAGGCTGAAGGCTAGTGATTGTAATGGAAAGGGTGAGAGAGGTTTTACCACTTATTGGAGACAGCAGGTGCCATGATAGATATGGACTCAACAGAAGAATGTCTGTGCAACAGAATTGTAAACCTGGATGTGTAAAAATGCATACATGTAATTTGCACCTACAGCTCTGGGGTGGTAAGTGTGCAATTCATGCACACACAGCTTTTCTGCAAATTGTCTTGCCAGTTATTTGCCCAGCTGGTGCCACAAATACAACCTTACTAAATGCACACGCAAATAGTGTCTGTACATTTTGGGAGGAGTATTTCTATAACTCAATCCCCAGCAGTTGTTTATCTTTAAAGACATTTTCAATGAATAACACTGAAAACCTCCTTAAACCACAGAAGAAGAAAGGTAAAAAAAAGAGAAAAGCTTTCTTTGGGGTTTGTTTTTTAATCTTCTGAACATTGTATTTGATGTACTTATTTGATGATCCATTTAACTTCTGGATGGCTTTTCACAATATAATCAATCCAGTAAAACAAGATCAAGGCACTAAAACTAGATGATAAACCTAGGGTACCTAGGCTATCTTCCAGAACAAAAGCGATTAAAAAACACAACCTTTGGGGTTTTTAATTTATTTAAATGTTTGGGTTTTTCTGTTAGGGTTGATTTGGAAAGAAAGGAGGCTGCGACAGCCAGTCACGTTGTTTCATAGAGCTGGATGGTTTACCTTAAATATTCTGTATGGGGAAATCCTATAAAAATTACAGTCAATATCATTTCCTAGATATTAAACAGGATGTATAAAATTAAGCAAAAACCTAAATTATTCAGTAGATAATGAACAGCAGAGACTCCCTCTGCCTGAAGAAGGGTGATTATTCCCAAAAGCTTGCAAAGAACGTTTTTTCAACCTACTCAGTTGCTTTAATAAAAGATATCACATCTACCCCAAAAATCGTGCCTGCCCATGTCCTCAGACCAACATGCCTACAATGAAAAACTCAATAGATAATGATATTCTTGATGTAAAATTGTTATACCAACCTAAAAGTATTATCCTTACTATGGCATCCCATAGGAGATTTCTTTACTAAATTCTACCAATCTGTTCTGTGTATCAGATTATAATATTCTCAACTGGAGATCACCCCAACACTGAATTTATCATGAACATGCTACCACCCCATGGGTCTCTGGGGGCTTGTATCCTGCTTCCAGCAACGTCTACTACCTGCTGTTGCAAAAGATTAGAATGCACCCAGAATGCATCATCAGCCAAAATTTTAAAAGAGAAAAACTCTTTCCTGACCGCTGCAGGTGGTCACTGTCACTCCTGTACTCATAGGTCATGTCTAGATGAGCATGGCCATGTGGTATGTGGTGCTGCAGACATGTCTGCGGCACCACATATTGCACATTCAGTTGATCTCTGTGCTGCAAGGGAACAGCATGGAGTGTGGGGGGGTTGACCCCTGGATATCCACAGATCAAAAACATGCAAACCCCCCCCCCCCCCCCCAAAAAAAAAAAAAAAATCCAAAAAATGTCATGGCACATGTTGGGGCAGTGCATGCCACTCAAAACCAGAGCCTGGCCAGCTGGAGCAACACTCCAGCTGCCCGTCAGGCGCCAAGCAACAGGATCACTGCCGCTAAAAATACCACGTAAAACACAGCTTTCTTGCCTGGGGAAAACTACATGTTCACTTTCCCATCCCTAACCTATTGCCTTGTCCAGCACAGTGTCCAGCAACATGCAGCAGCACCAGGAAGGCTTCAGGGTCGCTGCAGGCCACCGCCTGGCTTAGCCTTGGCAGTGGAGGTCATTAATAATTTGAGATACCTCAGCTCAGTGACAAAAAACCTTTTTGACTGCTGTTCCCCACCTGTCTGTTCCTTCAAGGAACCGGTATTCTGAGCCACAGCCCCTATAACTAACTACTGGGTTAACAATCTAGAATTTTTAACCCTGAGCATGTGCAAATCCTGGTTGTTAGACTGTGTCCAAAGCACTCTGTTTTTATTAATCAAAGTGGCAATATTGACTAAATATATGCACCATTGAGGTTCATAAATCCCTGCTGCTTCATTGCAGAACAAGATCAAACGGAGTGAAATGTGTAGGCACAGACAGAGAAGAGAGTGAATTGCTGTGGGTGGGTCATTCAATTTGCTGATTCAAAGTAATGGGTCTGGTTCTGATCTCCCTCACGTTGGTTTTTCACTTTGTAACTCCATAGCGGTGGATGGAATTCCTTCTGATTTACTCCCATGGAAGTGAGATCTGAAGGAGACAGTAGGTCTTCTTTTTAAAAAACTTTGGATTATTGTTGAGAGGAGATAATGGTGCAAAGAGATGATAATAATGAGCTTTTACATCCCAAATGTACTCATGTTAGTAGAGAGAGGAAGTCAAAGCCAGCTAAGCTAACTTGAAGTAAATTGGGATTTGTTTTGTCTTCGTGTCACCCCCCAAACCGCCAACTCTTTCAGCACATCTAGAACATGCTGCTCTGAAGCGACCCCAGGCTGCTACAGCAGTAAGAACTGAGGAGTAGAGCAGCTCTGTTTGTGCACCGTGACCTCCTCATTATGGTCCCCTGGTGCTTAGATTATTATCCCACATACTAAAGGAAGTTACTGAATAACTTTGCGTGCAGATAACAGGCTACAATGTAATGATACTATCCCTGACTTCAAGCTGCACTGTTGGTCTGTAATATCCACACTCTTTCTAACCAAGAGACAGACACATACCCTACATACTACCTACGTGGACTGAGATGCTCAACAAATAAGCCATTGGTGTTCGGTGCGATAGTTTTTCACCTATCACTGACTCTCTCCATGCCAGGCTACGGGGATTCCAAGCAAGCATGTTCTGGTTGCAGTACTCCCCGGCTTGCCCACATCTGCTGAGCTCTTCATTTTACCATATCAAGATACCACAGGAGAAAACAAAAAGACCGCAGAAGACCTAGAGCAGGTATTGTTTCCATTTCCAATAGGTATGCCTGAATATGTTCACGTGTTCACGTGCTGGGTAGATTTCTGAGGCACTACGTTGCCATTCTTTTGGGTCTGCTGGAATCAATCCCATGGTGTTAGTTCCAGCTAAGTCTTCTTTTGCTTTGCTTTGGCAACCCAATAAGGGCCAGGCTGTGGTGGGCCCATAGGGAGTGCTCCTGCACTGACCTACCCGCCTCACTGTGCCCGATGAAAACCCCACTTTGGGTGTCTCTTCTGGGGCATCCATCTGACTCCCATCCTGAAGCACACTCGCAAGCCTGGGGCAATCGCTGCCACCACCCGGGCCTAGGTCTCTGTTAGAGCTCTGTGTCACCCAGGGTACACAGACCCTGCTGACCTTGGGGTGCTTTGCTCACCGGTAATATTTTTGGGTGCTCCTTATAGCCTGGAGCCACCCAGGCTGCTTTCAGATAATAATCAGCCCAGCTCCCCTGGGAGCGAGAAGGCCTGTCCCTCCTCTCAAGTATTCTCAGCTAGGTCTGCTGTATCAGATAGCTTTTATTAATCGGAGAGAGAGGGATTGTGGGAGGAGTACAAGATAGAAGAGTATTAGAAAAACACCTTGAGCAAAGCAGAACGGGCTGATTGGCCCTTTTGATATGCTTCTAGTTCACTGAATCTTAGTCCCTGGATGAACTTGTGAGTAACCTATCTGGAAGTTAGCCAGTAACTTGATCAAGCTTGCTCTGGAGGCTTCAGCTTTGTGTGTGTGTTTCCAAAGATGTCTCCCTCCTCCATGATGGGGTGACCCCTTTTCATAACTTTTTGTGACCTCATAACTAAGTCCCAACCAGAAGCAGGCCCATTGGATGATGACCAATGCTTTTAAAGGACCAGGTGAGGTGGCCTGGCCATTTGATGGGCACTTTGAAGACAAAGAAAGAGTGAGTTCCCCCCACCCCCTCTGAAATTTCCGCCACCCAAGCCTTAGTGTTCAATGAAATGGGGGTTTGTGGGGGGCTGTCTGCTTAAGGGGGGGGGGGATTTCTCCACGCAGGCTGCTTCAATGAGGCAGCTGGGCACTCCCATGAACTGGGGGAATCCTCCAGTGATGACATGATGCTGGCATAAATGTGCATAATTTCCTCTTT